TGAGTGCTTCCTGCTCAGCCAGGCTGCCGCGAGGGAGGGGGTGGGACGGTGATGTACACGGCCAGGGGGTGGGGAAATCCATGTGCTGTTGGGGTCCCATGGGGAGCGCAGACCCCAAACTGCCGCTTGCCGCCACTTGCTCCCCCGCCGCAGCCCAGCTGAGGGAAGCAGCACTCAGCCAAGCCGCCACAGAGGGAGGGGAAGGGGGGCGGGGCAGTGACGTACACGGCCAGGGGGCGGGGCCATGTTCATCAGCGTTACAGACTCACAGACATTGGGCTACTATATATATGATGTGCTAAGCGGAACCCCTTCCCAGCATCCTTTTCTGGAGGTGGTCCTTTATCTTTGGCAGAGACATGCCACTGTGGCCCTAAAGCAACCATTTTGTAACTGGCTGCTAATTGCTGGTATTCTTTCCCTTTTAAACAGGAAGTAGTTTCCCCTTCCTGTCATGATTCTCTTTTCTCTTCTTGGAGGAGTTGGTATGTTCCTCATGGGCCCCACCACCATTGCCTGTCTTCGCAAGCCACCGGCCCTGCTCCTGCAGAGCGCTGCACAGAAAATGGACTCTGTGCGGGAAGCCCATTGCCAAGAAGTTTTGCTACATTATTCCTGCTCTCATGAGTCTCCTTTAGCCTGCCTTGAACACAAAGGGGACCAGGCTTATGGAAGTCAGTAGAGTGACCTCAGAAATGGGTTGGTTTCATATCACCCCTCTCTTTGCAATTCACAACTGTTCCTTTTGCTGTATTCTCAAAGGGTTTGTAAAGGCTATTTTTAAATAATCTCAGAGAGGGCACTTGTGCACTTGATAGCCTTCAACACTAGGGAGTTTTCCTTGCTCTTGTATTTTCCTTTGCTTCATTTAATCCTGTTCCTCCCTCTTCCCTTGGTGTATTTGCCCTCAGATATTTGCAGCTGGTTATCTGTCTCTTCTCTGCTAGTTGGTGGTACTATCCTTCCATGCTTCATTTTCTTCACCTATGCTCACAGTAGGTTAATCCCCCAGTAGATTTATTTGGGAGCACGGATGGTTTTATTAATGTTTATTGCAACTGCCATTATAGCTCATGGATATTACAATAGCAAAACCATAATGATGGCTGTTTATGTTGACTACAGAGCTGAGCCCAGCTGTTTTGCAACTGTGGCTGATTCCTTATCAGCAGGAGGTCCTTCTTTTAATGGAGAGGTAATGAGTGAGAGAGGAGTTTGTGCTGTGCCAGTTTGTGCCTTGGGTTGGAAAAAACTCCCTTAGCTGCCCAGCCCTTAAGGATAAATTAGCCAATGCTTGAATGTCGTAAGAGTCAGGCCATTACTGTGGTTTGCATTCAACACATTCACAAGCCCAGAAAGATTTGCCATTGTTCCGGCTGAATGGGCTGGAGGATTGTTCAATCCAGCCGTTGTCAGAAATAGACCGGCAGATTCTAGGGAGTGCAAATAGGCTCCCTCTTTATTAGTGCATGTGCAATTTGTAATGAATATCACAAGAGAAATTGCTGTGTGCATTGTTGGGTTTTTATTTTTTTGCAAATAGTACAACTGACTCATTTTCAGTGACTGGTAATCAGGAGGATTAAAAGAACAGCTGTCAATCCAGCCGTTGTCAGAAATAGACCGGCAGATTCTAGGGAGTGCAAATAGGCTCCCTCTTTATTAGTGCATGTGCAATTTGTAATGAATATCACAAGAGAAATTGCTGTGTGCATTGTTGGGTTTTTATTTTTTTGCAAATAGTACAACTGACTCATTTTCAGTGACTGGTAATCAGGAGGATTAAAAGAACAGCTGTCTCAATCAGGGGAACTTTCAGAAATAAATACTTTGCATTTACACTGCCAAGGACCTTGCAGTGTTTTATAATAGAGGAGACATTTGGCTGTGAACTCTAGCCCTGCTATCATTGCGAAGGTTTGCATGCCTATCTGTGTGCAGTGTTATGATGCAGCAATATGCGGCAATTGATTTTTAAAAATATTGTCAGAAGCCCTGTTTTCCAAAAGGAAAAACTGAAGCGCAGAGATGTCCAGTGACTTGCTAAAGGCCCCTGAGGAAGTCTGTGTCAGAACTGGGAGCAGAGCTTATGGAACTGTCAAGCAAGTTTCTGCATTGTCCATGCAGTTTCTCCAGTTATTTGTTTAAAAGTACAGTTTCCTGCTTCTGCTTAGTTTCCTTTTCTTTCTCAGCCTGTAGGATTTCCTCAGGGATGGCAAGACCATCATTACTTTTGGAGCTCCAGCAACGTGCAGAATATAGAGTGGACAAGATCTCTGCCAAAGAGATCTTGCCAGCCAAATTTATCATCAGACAAGTGATTGTGGGAGTGCATCAAAAAGCAACATTTTTAGTAATATTTTGAGGGGAGACAGTCCATTGGTTAGAAGGGCAGCGGAGGCATGAAGATCCTTAAGGTCAGTTCTTGGCTTTGATATTGACTCATTTGGGTGGCTTGGATAAGAACATAAGAACGGCCCATACTGGCTCAGACCAAAGGTCCTTCTAACCCAGTATCCTATCCTCTGACAGTGGCCAATGCCAGGTGCCCTAGGGAATGAACAGAACCAAACAGGTGATCATCAAATGATCCATCCAATTCTCAGGTTCTGGCAAACAGAGGCCAGGGACACCATTCCTTCCCATTCTGGCTAATAGCCATTGATGGGCCTAAACGCCATGAATTTCTCTCTCCTATAAAAAGACTTTTCCTCTCTGTCACTCTGTGCCCACAGGGCCTCCCTGCCCCAGACACTAGTGACGGGCAAAACCACCTGGCAGCCCAACCTGGGCAGTTTCCATCTCCCAAGGGTCCTGCCTGCCCACCTCTGGCTGCAGCCTTTCGGGCGGCCCATCCCCCAACTGATGTAAGACCCGGGACACAGCCCACTCGCACGGCTCCCTCCCACCCAGCCACACGCGGGGCTGCAGCAGTGAGCAGTGCTTCTGCAAGGCAGGCGAGGAGGAGTCCGGCACTGACCGGAGCAGCCCGGACCCCCTTTGCCTGGTGCTGCAGCCATGCCATCCCCCCCCCCCATGTGGTTGGAGCACTAGCGCTGGCTTCCTACTGCGGGGCGGGAGGAGGAGAGAAAGCCCTGAGCCTCACTGCATGGGGAAGAAGTGCCCCCCGCCCCCAGGCTGGGAAACAGCAGCCTGCAAGCGCAGTGTCTGGAGCCTTTTCCTGTACTCTCATTGGCCAGAATCCGCCTAATGGGAGCAGCAGGAGGCTGTGCCTGGGACTTGCGTGGGGCCCGAAGACCAGTAAAAGCCCCCCCACTTCCTCTGCCCACCCAGCCTGCTCCTGTCCCTCTTTCCCCCGGCCACACATCCTGCCCCCAGCCTGCTCCTGCACCCTCCCCTGCTCCTATCCCCCTCCCCAGGGGCCAGATACCCTGTCCCCAGCTTGCTCCTGCACCTCATCTCCTGCCCAGTACTACACCCCCATCCCTGTCCCACTGGCAGCCCTGTCTCACATACTGAACCCCTCATTTTTTGCTCCACCCCAGAGGCTAGGGGGCCCCACTAAATCCACTAACCCTGGAACCCCAGAAGAGTTAACTTGGCCTGATGCATTGAACCTCAGTCCTCCCCACTCTCAACACGCCCCGGAGTGAAGTGTTTCAGTTGGGGGCCACGTTAGTGAAGGTTGGGTGTTTTTTGGGGGGGCTTTTTTTCCTTCTCACTTGTGTGGTCCCCAACTGATTTTTCTGTTAGTCAGTGGCCCCTGACCCAAGAAACGTTCCCCACCACTGACATTAATAAAGACAATGTTGAAACCTTTTATGTTAGACAAAATATTTTACTTTATTTAAAATGAAGCCTGGCCAACAAGGCCCCATTTGGGGCCCAGTCCCCATCTGGCCACAGTGTACTGTCCCTGGCCCCGATCCTGGGGCAGGCCCTATGGTCTGGCCCCATCTGGCCACAGAATGGGCTGGTGGCAGCGTCCCTCCTGCTGCGGCACAGGTAGCAGGAGAGGCCACGATCCAGCTGTGGCAAGCAGTCCCTGGCCCCGATCCTGGGGCAGGCCCTATGGTCTGGCCCCATCTGGCCACAGAATGGGCTGGTGGCAGCGTCCCTCCTGCTGCGGCACAGGTAGCAGGAGAGGCCACGATCCAGCTGTGGCAAGCAGAGGGAGGTTGGCAAGCGCAGTGAGCAGGGGGAATAGCCCCCTAGTATCCAGTTATTTTTTGAACTCTGTTAAAGTCCTTGTCATCACAATATTCTCTGGCAAGGAGTTCCACAGGTTGACTATGCATTGTGTGAGGAAATAATTCCTTTTGTTTGTTTTAAATCTGCTGCCTATTAATTTAATTGGGTGACACATTGTTCTTGTGCTATCAGCAGAAGCAAATAACATTTCCTTATTTACTTCTCCACACAAATAATGCTTGATAGGCCTCTATCATATTTCCCCCCCTTAGTCATCTCTTTTACAAGCTGAAAAGTCCCAGTTTTGTTAACTCGCCTCATACGGAAGCCATTCCTCATCCCTCTCACTAAGCCACTTGATTTCATGGATACTGAATTCCAAAGTCACATGGTAATTTTCTCTTTAAATACAGTGAAGAACCAGAGTCATCAGGGATGCTATGTGGAGAAATACTTCCTTCTATTTGTTTTACACCTGCTACGTAATTAATTTTGTTTGGTGACTTCTAGGTCTTGTGTTATGGGGACAAGTAAATAAAGTTTCCTTATGTACATCCTCCACACTAGTCATGATTTTATAGACCTCTATCATATCCCCCCCTTAGTTTCCTCTTTTCTAAGATGAAAGGTCCCAGCCTTTTTAATCTCTCATATGGCAGTTGTTCCGAACTCCTAATAATTTTTGTTGCCCTTTTCTGAATTTTTTCCAATGTCAAGATACCTTTTTTCAGATAAGGTAACCACATCAGTATGCAGGATTCAAGATTTGGATGTACTATGGATTTATACAGACACAATAAGACATTCTCTGTCTTATTCTCTGTCCCTTTTGTAATAATTCCTAACATTGTTTGCAACTGAAGCCCAGGGAGATCGTCTGTTAATTCCCATCAACTTCAATTGTTTAATGTTTCAAATAAGGCAGAAATAGTTTCTGGGAGAGATCTTGCAGGCCATATTTGATTAACTTCCAAAAAAGTGCTTTGAGATCCTCTTGTGAAGGGTCTTATAAGAGTGGAAATATGAGTACTAATAAATACTGATAATAGATATTTATTATTATCAAGGAGCTTGATACTGCAAACCGTGGCTCACTTGAACAGTCCTGACTCATTCCCTCCTGCATATGAAGCCACTACTGAGCAAGGGAAGAGTTTTCAGGAGCAGACCCTTTCATCTTTAGACTGTGGGCCAGTACTTCAGTAGAGTCTCACCTGGGATTCCAAGGCTGGTGATATTCCAGGCAGTTGGTCTCTCTACAGTCTCTGGTTTAAAAAAGTGTTTCCTGCCAGTAAGAACAAATTGAGTTTGTATTAGTTTGCTAAGGTTTTGATTGTGCCTCTGAACAAGGGCGGCAGGTTTGTATAATTTTTGGTCGTGCCCAGAAAGGGTCTAGTCCCCCCTCCCACCCACCTGCCTGCCCTGTAAGCCAATATATATTTTATTAAATAATGTAAAAATGGACTGGAAACCGTAAGCATTTAACAGTTTCTCTTTATTGCACAATATCACTATTGTAAGAAAAAATTATTTAACTAAGAATATCAACGTTATTGATATTCTTTTGAATATGAAAACAACTAAGCACTCTTTGACCAATAACCCTCAAAAGCAAATACTTTTTAAAATTAAAACAAATATAGCCCCTTCTTTTGCAATGTTCTTCAGGCCCCCACCCTTCTGGGAGCTGTAGGAGGTGTTTTTTCCATATATAACAGATTTTGAAATAATATTTTGTATAAAATTTATAACTTAGTTGTTGGAGAAAACTGGTTACTAAGTTTTTTTTTATTGCAATAAATGACAAAGATTGAGTGGGGTCTGAGTGCAGAGATTCTTAACTATACCTTTTTTTATAAAAAAACCCAACAAAATGCTCCCTGAGTATAAATTAGCTAATTTGGCATGTTTTTTCTTTCATAAGAGTTTTGCTATGGCTTGTAGATTGCCATCAAATTGCATGTTGGAATAAGATTGAAATATTTATTAGAAACTCTTTGTTCATTTTTTCACTTTTCATAAATACTTTGACCTCCCATTTTTCTGCTGTTGGGTGTATTATATTATCTACATGGTCCTGTTGTTTGTTTATATTATCTACAGCATCTGAAGTCATGGCCCTGGAGCATGTGAAACCAATATGTAGGGCCTTTTAAAGTTCAGTTATCTAGAAATATGTTTAAAAATTCCAGTTAACAAACATACATTGTGGCAACAGCGTTGGTTAATTTTGACCATCTTTTTATTGCTAAACTGCATCCTCATAGTTATCACTTTTTAGTTAAGTGGCTAGCATGCTTGTTGCACAGTATAGGCTTATATTTTATTTGGGTGACTATCTAGTGTTTTTATCCAAGAGATAACCACGACAGACAATAGTAACTCCAGATGTTCTCATGTTTCAGGTATTCTTGCATACATTCTGCAGGTATGTTAGGATGGGTGTTTTTGGATATGTAATACGTTCTGTTATACTGTGTATATTTGCCCATTGTAACCATGAAAAATTGCCCTTTTGAGACTGCCATTCTAATCAAGCTTAAAAGATCCATAATTTTGGCCCACGAGGAACTGAATGCAGTCAGTTAAGATAAACTTATTTGCATGTGTACGTACTGTATTACATGGTTTCTTGAATCTGGAAGAAAAAATGAGATGAAACATTTTCAGTAATCATGAGGCTAGAGTTGACTCTGTTTTAACAATAACAATTAGCTGATTCCCGCCCCCCGCCCCTTGGAAATCTAATCAATTGTGCTCAATTAATGAGTATAAATCAAAATAATTTGGAGTCTTCAGCAGATTTACTCTAAGTATACATTCATTTAAAATAAGCAGGACTTTGCCCTGTGTTTATATTTAAGGTTTATTTTTATAAATTTGAACTGATATTTTCACAGAGTTTAAGAAGACAGGGTTGTTTAATTAGTCATTAATTTCTCAAACATTACCAAAAACATCTCTCCTAATCTGCAGGTACAGGTTGGACCTCCCTGGTCCGGCACCCCTGGACTTGATTGGTCCCAAACCAGGGAGTTTGCTAGGGGAGGTCAATGAAGACCCAAGGGTACTTGGCCCAGCTCCTCTCCCAACCCCAGCTGGGTCCTCGGCCTTTGGCCCCTGCTGTCAGCCTGGCTCTGCTGCTGGGGTTCGATTCTGCTGCCATAGTGCCCCCTCCCCACACACACACATTGCTCCAACCACAGGGTCCCCAAGATGTTGCCAGACCAGTCAGTCCCATATTAGAAAGGTTCAACCTGTGGTCTGTTTTTTACTTTTGCATAATTTGAAGATCACAATTCACAGAATTAATGTTTTAATGACTCCTCATTATCATAGTATGCACTGTATTCTAAGCCTTCAATCCCACCTTCCCATCAAAAGAAAAGCTTAAGTATTTGCTAAGTAAAAATGATAAGTCTGTAAAATTCTTTTATCAAAACTCCTACAAGTGAATTCCTTCATAATTCACACACAAACAAAAAGACAGCATTTTCAGTCATTACCTGCATCTTACTTGGGTTTTTAAGAGAGAACTCTTTAACATATTAAGTGAATCCAAGAAAGAAATATTGTCCATAATTGACTCTTTCTATCTCGTTTTGTCCCTTACTCTCTTTCACAGAATCTCTTTTGTTTACTAGATCTCCCAAAGTTCTTTTACATGAAATAAAGCAACTTTCTTCTGCTTACATCGATGTCTAATTGACCATGAAAATAATGTCACCATACCATTGTGTCTGCATGGATGTTCCATAATGATGTCTATATTCAAACCAAGGATTTTGTAAAATATTGTCAGGTGATGTTGTAATGTAGTGGATTGGTCAATCTTATCATAATGTACTGGCTTGGTTTTGTTCTAGTGATGTATAAAAAATGTTTCAATGTTTTTAAATAGTCTTATAACTTTCTCCCTGACTATTTTGTAATAAAGCAATCACTCTCAAATGGTTACACCTAGTGTCAGTTTGATAATTGGCTTTAATATGTACATTTCTGAGTGTGAAGGTGTTAGCCAGAGCTTCAGTTATTGTGATTTTAAGTTCACTAATAAAAAGTTCAAAGTTGGCTTTCTACAATAATCTTTATTTCAGTTAGGCCTACTTTAAAACACAAAGACTACTTTTTTCTGATGCTTGCTTCCAAAAAAAAAAGGGGGGCACTTTATTGGCAACCCAACTCCCCCCTTCAGTTTCTCTTCAACAGGAGGGAACTCATCTCTCTCTCTCTCTCTCTCTCTCGCTCTCGCCTCTGGCTATTGTCTCTTCACACAGACTTGTTACTTAATTGCCTTTTCCTTCTGGTCTATTGCCATTCATTCATTCATTCATTCATTCATTCATTCATTCATTCATTCATTCATTCAAAGAACAAACAGCAAACAGAAAGAACAGGCTGTCCTAGCCTCAGTCCTGATGGCACTGGGGGGGAGAGACCCAATATTGGTGGAGCAGGGTCCCTGGCTCTGAATATTCCTGGAGCCTGGACACCTGGAGCCCATAGAACCCGCTGCCCATGCCTGTGAATGTATTCAGGCACACCTGTGCTGATTGGGAGGCAAGGAATTGCTTGTAGAGCTGAGAATCATTCATAGAAGTAACTCATCAAGGATCATGCCTTCAGAGGCACAGCAAGGGTGTTATGTGCCCAGGGACAAAGGCAAAATTTGCGCCTCCCCCTGCCGCCGCCATGCGGTGGGGCCCAGAACCTGGCGCACGGCTGAGCCCAACCCTGGGAGTGGTGGAGGGGAGCTTGTACCGCATCTTCCCCTGCCCCCTCCAGTTTGGGGCTGCCCCATATGCACTAACCCACCAGTGGAGATGGAAGAGGGTTAGGCTGGGGGCGGAGAGGCAGCGAGGAGGCTCCAACTGGCAGTGGTGGGCGATGGAAGAGCAGGTGAGCTAAGGGGTGACAGGGGGAGCGAAGGGGGACTAAATTGGTGCCCCCCAGTGTTGTGCCTGGGGGCAACTGCCCCCCTGCCCCGCCTTCCTATGCCACTGTGTGCCTTCTCCTTAAAATGATGTGGAAAAGCCCAACCAGTCTTAATTAAGTCTTAGATGAGACCATTATAAATGTATAATCTGACCTCCTGCATAACACAGATTGGAGAATCTCAATCATTTTTCACATAAATCATAAGTCCATAATTTATTAGGCTATAGCACCTCTTTTAGAAAGACACCCAGTCCATAAAGAGTGCAATAATGGAGAATCCACTACGATGCTTGATAAATTATTTCAAAGTTTAATTGCTCTCGCTGTTTAAAAAAAAATGCTTTAATTCTAGAATGAATTTGTCTAGCTTTTGTTTCCTGCCATTGGCTCTTGTTATGGCCCTTTCTGCTAGGTTAAAGAGCTTTTTAGTATCAGAAATCTTTTCTCCATGTAGGTACTTGCAGCCCACGATCAAATCATGTCTTCATCTGCTCTTCAATAAACAGACTGAGGTTTTTTTAGTTGCTCATCGTAAGATGTTCTCTAGACTTCTTATAATGCTAGGCAGGCAGTTTAGTGAAACACCCAAAACCACAGCATCATATCTCGAGCTCTGGTCCTTAGCTGTTTGTTTCAAGGGTATCACCATATGGCATACTGCACTATGGTCTAGGGACCCACTTGACAAGGGCAGTGGGAACGGACATGGAAGGCACAACTGGTTCTTTTCCATCAATTGCCCCAGAAATGCCCATGTGTAGATGGTGGGAAAAAATACAGAGACTGCTGTGAAGATGTGCAGATTAGCTACAGTTTGACCCTTATCCCAAAACTACAGCTAGATCTGACACTTTAGTCTCTCCACCCCACTGAAGTGGCACAAGAGGGGTAGCTTGGCACTGTGGCCTAGTGGATTAGCCTCAGGCTACATCTAGCACTCTGTGAAGCTGGGCTCTACTCCTGTTTAGGGCCCTGACTGGCTTTGTGAACTTGAGCTTGTTCCTTGACTGCCCTCTGCCTGGTCTCCCCAGTTGTAAAATAGGAGCAGTAATACTCATGTGCCTCTGCTAATTGCTTTGACTTATCATAACAAATCATTATTGCAACAGGATGCAACACTCTTAGCATGTTGCTATCCTTCTCCTCAGAGCCTGTTTTCCTGGGACAAGTCTGCAGTTCGTTTGAGGGTCCATGTAGCAGAGCTGCCATTTGCCTCAGTGTCCCAAATGCAAGGTTCATTCTAGGAATCCCTTAGTTCATACTCATCTCCAACACTCCTCTCCTCTATGGAGACCTTATTCTGCTCAATGGAAGCCCGGCCATTTGGTTCAGGCCACGTCTTCATTCACCACACTAGAGATAGATCATCTGGAGTTTGATTTAGTGGGTCTAGTTAAGACCTGCTAAACTGAATGTTGAGGGAGGATCTGATTGGCGCCCATACTCCTGGCAGTCACAAGGAGTAAGGGAAACTGATAAGTATGTTTGCTCCCTTTGGCCTCCCTCTGTGAAGATGGCACCAAGCTCGGCTTAAGGTACGTTGACTCTAGCTACGTTATTCCTGTGTCCAGGTATACCCCTGTGTCCCTTCCTGAGTCCATGTACACCCTGGTCTGAGAGGGAAGGTGGTATACATTCCAGCCTGCCTCTGGAAACTTCTTCCAATTGGCTACAAGAGAGGGGACCTCTGCCCCACCTGGCTCTTGATCTTGGGACCTTAATGACAATGTTCTGGGATCTTCCCAGCCCACTGCTAGCTCCCTGGGACCATTTCCTCTCATCTGGAATTAGCAGATTTTTAAGACTGTCCTCATAACATCGTCTCTGGAATGTCTTCTGGCCCTCTTCAGCTTAAAGGGCTGTTGCACCCAATTATAGTACAGTCTGGCTACTTTCTCCCTCCGAATACCATTTATTCTCTCTCCCAACCCATGGATATGTCATCTCTCTTTCCACCAACACAAGAGCTTCAGTATATCAGCCAGCCCATACAACTATATATCCAGCGCAGCAGAACTGTGGGAATAAGACCAAGCTTTCAGAGGCCCTGAGTCCATTTAATTTTGTAACAGGAAGAGAAGCAGGTACTCTAGTGCTGTGATAATTGGTGTTTATGAGCAGGTACAGAATACTGTCCATGGATACATAGAGACATTTGTGTACTGTGCAAAAACCTTTGTACAAAACAATTTAGCTGTATGCATTAGTGCTTAGAGGGCTGGCATCATCCAGACTGCCAGCCGAATGAATGCTTAGAAAGATATAAGGCTGCAATGTCCCAAAGGATTAGACCAATTGAACAAACACATGAGGCATCACTCAAGCCTGGGTGGATGTAAACTAGCAGATAAAAAAAACAGCAACAACAAAAGAACAAAAGCTGTAGCTCTCAAAGAAAAAAACAGGAAATAAGCTTATCTCCTCTTTTAGGCTCATCCTAAGCATCCATCCTTCACAGTGACAGTGAAAGGCAATTCATGCACTTTCCTGGGCAGTAGCTATGAAATGTGGTTCACATTCTCTGAGTCACACTTTGGAGTCTATGTTTTTGCTTGACTTTTCTGCCAGCTTCTCCTTCTCTGGGATTGTGTTTGGCTCTGTAGCATTCCTGGTTTCCCTCTCTTGTCGTCTGAGAATGATGAACACAGCCAAGAAGCACAGAAAAGCTCCCACTTCAAAGAAAAACTGGAGCCCAAGGAATCTAAGGTACAGAATCAAAAAAGAATAAGGTAGGGAGCAAAGTTTCAGGATACAACGTCTATAGGACATTCATCCAATGAGCATCGAGTTAAGGTCAAGAGTTTTTTCAGTCAATTAAGAGAGAAGGCAGATATCACCCATCAACAGGTAGGAAATCAGCACATTTTGGGGCAAAAGAAAATGTCCTTTGAATACTGACTTCAGGGATAGCTTTACTGGGGCAAAGGTTTGGGAAATAAAATGGACTGTGCTCCTGCACTCAGGCTGAGTAACATTTGCTCATGCCCACAGTAAATCCTCCTCAGAGTAAACAATCAGTTAGAGGTGCCTTCCGAACTCCTAATGATTCTGCAGCCTTCCCTCAGCTGAGCTGCACCAGGGCTGTCACTGACAGGATAACGCTATAATATATCAGGGAGGTGCTAGAGGTAGCTCTCCAGGGTGCCCCGTGTTAATTCGCATGTCAAACGGGTGATTGCCCTACATCTGGGGGAGTCTCTATATACTGTTCTATTATCCCTGGTAGAGAGAATGGGTTTCCAGGGCTCATATACATTCTCTTGAGGAACTTGTGCAAACTTTGCAGCAAGTACAGATGATTAGAAGTCTGCTTGCCAGGCAATGCTGCCTCCTGGCTTTGGGTAGCATTTGGAGAAAGTGTCTTTATTTAAATTTGGAAACAAATGACCATACACCCTTGCCCTTTATCCCACATCTCTGTCAGCATGTGAAGCTCAGTGTACATGGCGTTATCACAGGAAAGGTGGGAATTTTTTTGTTGCAACTCTTTAATAAAACATTAACCACACATCACTGTAGCAGAGCAGGAAGTATGCCATTTCCCAGTTCACCCGCCCATCCATCCGCCCGCCCCATGTTCATCACCTTGTTATCCAAGCAGATTCTTCAGTTTTCTTTTAAAGATGTCATAGAATACTAGCACTGGAAGAGACCTTGAGAGGTCATCAAGTCCAGTCCTCTGCCCTCACGGTAGGACCAAGCACCATCTAGATCATCCCTGATAGATGCCTATCTAACTTGATCTTAAATATCTCCAGAGAGGGAGATTCCACAACCTTCCTATGCAATTTATTTCAGTGTTTAACCACCCTGACAGTTAGGAAATATTTCCTAATGTTGAACCTAAACCACCCTTGCTGCAATTTGTCCTATCATCAGAGGCCAAAGAGAACAATTTTTCTCCATCCTCCTTGTAACACCCTTTTGGTACTTGAAAACTGCTATTGTATCCCCTCTCAGTCTTCTCTATTCCAAACTAAACCAACCCAGTTGTTTCAGTGTTCCTATATAGGCCATGTTTTCTAGACCATTAAGCATTTTTGTTGCTCTTCTCTGGACAGTATCCAATTTCTCTGTATTTTTCTTGATATGTGGTGCCCAGAACTGGATACAATACTCCAATTGAGGCCTAATCAGTGCAGAATAGAGTGAAAGAATTACTGCTTGTGTCTTTCTCACGACACTCTTGTTAAAGCATCCCAGAATCATGTTTGCTTTTTTTCATGTCACCAGTGTATGATAATGAGCGTGGCCCGGTCTACTCTGAAATTTGACATAACAGCGGTGTGTTAGGGGTCTGTGAAAAATGCACACAGCTGTGTGACATAGTTAGACCAACCCCACCCCTGTGTAGACAATTATGACCCAGGGGCATAATAGTGGATCAGTTATGGCTCGGTAGCAGTGCCACTGTCACCCCTGTAATGCAGCAAAACCTAGAGAACAGGCAGGAGCTGCTGGAGCCTCACAGGAGCCCTACCTTTGTCTGAAGAGATCATTGTTGTAGTATCTGCAAGCTGCGTTCTTCTTGCACTTCTTTTCCCACAGGATGCAGGTTGTGTCGATGGCACTGCCGTACAGCACAGGTCCTGGCATCCAGGCTGGAAAACATGCACAGGGCACTTTGTAAATGAGACCCATTGCTTTCTGTAGGACAGACCCCATCTGACTCTTTTTCAAAGCCATATCAAACCAATTTCAGAATGGTTTGTGTCTTCATGGGGGGCATATCAGGTAAGTGCTCCCCCAGATTTCCCCTTGGCCTGCTGCATGGGGACGGAGAGGGGCTCTGACCTTCTCCCCTCTCTCTTGCCTCTGGCATGTTCAGTCCCTGTCCCTTGCAGCCAGGCCCAGGTGAAGGTGGGGAGTAGAAGGGGTGAATGGTGCCGCTTCTCACACCAGCTGAGAGTGGCTGCTCCAGGTCACTGCTCTGTGCAGGTCACTGCTCTGTGCACTGTGCTCTGCTCTCTACTCCCCGCTCAGGCTCCACTGCTGGGGATGGGCCCAGCGAGCTGGACCTCCATGCCCTAACCCCTGCCCCCGGCACATTTCCAGGTCGCTCGGCCCCTGTCCCAAGCAGCTGGTCTGGGCGGGGAATGGAGAGCATCAGTTCTGCCTGCTCCAGTTCCCGCCCAGGCCCAGCCCAGGGAGAGTGGGTGAGTGAGGCGGAAATGTGCCGAGCAGAGGTGTTATGGCAGAAGGACAGCAGGTAAATCAGGCTGAGCTGGAGCGCAGGGTGGTCCTGGGGTAGGTGCAGGGCAAGTGGTCACTGGAGAAAGGGCTAGAAGCAGGTTCCTCACTACCTGCTCAACTGGAGACAGGGACAGTGCCTGTGCCTCCCCTGCTGATGGGTCTGTGACTTCTGGGGAGACACTGGTGCTGTGAGTCTCCCCAGACCCCAGCCAGGCCCAGATACATGTAGTCCCTGGTCCTGTGGCCTCACTGTTCTAGGAGCTGATGGGTTGGCTGCCCTGGGCCAGGGAAGCGAGGCTGGAAATTCCTCCCAGAGGCAACTTCTGGAGGTCATGTGTCCTCCCCACTGCCTTTACATTGATCTCCCCAAGTATCAGGAGGGAAAAGTCACCTATGCTTCCTGGTGATGGCCAGACAATAGAAAACACCTTAACCAGTTAGCAGAACCCTCCTCCAGTGCCTGGAAGGGCTGTTCAAGTACTTTTCTACTAGAAGTTACTATAATTAAGAATGGAATGAGACATCCAGGTCCCAAAGCTGCAGTTCTACCAGCCCAGACTTAATTCTTTCCAGTCTGCCATTGCAGAACAACCATGGTTTGTAGCATCTCTACAACCACAATGTTACAGGCTGCTACAGGTTTGCTAAATACCACTTTAGGGATCCATCCTGCATTGCCTGGGGTTGGTGTGATGTGAGGGAGTTTTTCTGTATCCTTTTTATACAAGGGACATTCACACAATCCAGGCATTATTGTAACGGCAGACTCATTTCTTCCTCTCCATTCTGTGGTGTGTGAAAATGTTCATTGTCAGGACTTCTGGGACACATACCAGTGTTCCCCAGGTAAAAAAAAAAAGATAATTTCCAATGTAAGAAAAACAATTATTTGAATTGAAGGCTATTTTCAGCCATTCTGAGATGTCCCTCAAACAAAGACACATAGAATATAAATAACTTCCCCCTAGACACTGTCATTTCTTGAGAAATATTCTGAAGTGCTTTAGCAATGCTGTGTATAAAGGTCTGTTCTCCACCCCTCTGCAAGGTGAAATGGGGCAGTCAGTATGTGCCAGGAATACCTGAAAGCTGTGTTACTGGGGAACTTTAGATGGAGTTCACAGACTGCAATTTGACCAAGGCACCAGGGCCCAACATGCCATCTCTTGAAGAAATTGTTGTGGGATTTTTAATGACTACAGGTGATCAGGACTTTGGTTTTACTTCTTATCTGAAAGACTCTTCTGCCCACAATGCAGCATCCGATAGGAGGGAACAGTGGTTCAGCAATGACTGAGGGAAAACGTGACACCTGCTGAATTAACTATACTCATCTGTTGCAGCACATGAGGTTCTCTGGTGATGTCCCATTTGATCAATATGAACTCAGAATTTCTTATGACTTTACAGTGCTACATCCCAACAAAAACTGAATTTACCCAAAACTCTCAGCAGCAGAAACTGGATCCCAATAGCAAATGATTTATCTTGGGGCTGAACACTCCTGAAAAGCAAAAAGAAAAGAAGAATTAGTACATTCCCCTATGCATAATTAAGAACAAATATGTCCCTTTACTACAGCCATGCAAAACCTCTCTAGATGCCTCACTGAGGGCAGATTGCTCCATCAGCTGTATCACAGCCATAGGCTGTGTCTAGACTGCCATGATTTTCCGCAAATGCTTTTAACGGAAAAGTTTTTCCGTTAAAAGCATTTGCGGTAAAGAGCATCTAGATTGGCATGGACCCTTTTGCGCAAAAGCCCTTTTTGCGGAAAAGCGTCCGTGCCAATCTAGACGCAGTTTTGTGCAAGAAAGCCCCGATTGCCATTTTTGCCATCGGGGCTTTTTTGCACAAAACGGTTCTCAGTTGTCTACATTGGCCCTCTTGTGCAAAAGCATTTGCGCAAGAGGGCTTTTTCCCGAATGGGAGAGTGATTGTATTTGCGGAAGAACACTGACAATCTTATATTAGATCGTCAGTGTTCTTGCGCAAATTCAAAGCGGCCAGCTGCTTTTGCGGAAAAACTTGCCAGTCTAGACACAGTCATAATGTTTTGCTTAGTTCTTATGAGCTTTCCATTCTTTTACGATATTGCATTATGTTTTCACAAAAATTCACTGCTCTTTACTGTAACACATTTTCAGGGATTAAAGTTTTTTCCTAGCATTCATTTGCGTAACATATTCTATTATAGAGGGCAAGGCTAAGATTTTGGGCAGCTCCTTATGTATCAGGTGGCCAAAAATTTAGGTGTACACTTCTGTACCTAGCATATATTTGGGTGCTCAAACATAACAATACATAATTCCTCTCTGAGGCAGGTTTTTAAATCATTGTTAGAAGTTCACAATCAAGTGGGAAGGATGTATCTCAGGGTATGTCTATACTAGCCCCCTAGTTCGAACTAGGGAGGCTAATGAGGGTGACCGAAATTGCAAATGAAGTGCAGGATTTAAATATCCTGTGCTTCATTAGCATGTTCCCGGGCAGTCGCCATTTTGGAAATTGACTAGCCCAGAATAATTGCCCGCATCTACATGCAGCAGTGAAACGGGAGTTTGAAATAAAGCCCTGACTTGAATTAGCTGTTATTCCTCCTGGAATGAGGTTTAACATCTAATTCGAATTAAGGGCTTTACTTCAAACTCCCGTTTCACTGCCGCGTGTAGACGCGGGCAGTTATTCCGGGCTTGTAAATTTCAAAAATGGCGCCCAGACGGGAAGATGTAAATCAAGCACGGGATATTTAAATCCCGGGCTTGATTTGCAATTCTGAATGCCTACATTTCCAGCCCTATTCCAAAATAGGCTGCAAGTGTAGACATACCCATAGAGAGTATGCTTATAAAGTTGTTTAGTACCCGGGCCCCAGTGCACTGTCCCTGCTCCCCAGCCAGAGCGCAGGAGTGGAGTGGGAGAAGCCTTGGCTCCACTTCCTGGCTGGAGTGCCAGACCGGAGGAGGGAAGCCTCGGCCCTGCTCCCCAGCTGGAGCACTGAGTGGGCTGGGAGCGAGTGGGGGGAGGGGAGCTGGATAGAAAATGGGTACGCCATCGCCCACTTGGGCCCACCCATAGCTATGTCCCTGTTCTGAAGGAAATGGGATGAAGATCAAACAAGACAAATGCAGAGTATTCCACTCAGGAAGGACCCATCAGTTATAAACAAGCAAAATGGGAAATGACCTCCTAGGAAGTAGCAATTTGGAAAGGGATCGGGGGATTATAGTGGATCAAAAGCTAAATGTGAGTTAATATAACACTGTTGAAAAAAAAAGCAAACATCAATCTGGGATGCATTAACAGGAGTGCTGTAAGCAGAACATGAGAAGTGATGCTCCTGCTCTACTCTGTGACACAGCCAGAGTGTTTTGAAAACATGACCTATTAAAATAACTGTGTTTAGTCTAGAGATGAGAGGACTGAAAAGTTTTTGAGCATTTACAGGGCTGTTACAAGGAGAAAGGTGAAGATAGTTTTCCTTAATCTCTGGGGATAGGACAAGAAGCAATGGGCTTAAATTGCTGCGATGGAGATTTAAGTTGGACATTATGAAAAGTTTCCTGACTATCAGGGTAGTTTAAGCACTGGAACAAATTGCCAAGGGAGGTTGTGGAATCTCCATCACTGGAGGTTTTTAAGAACAGGTTAGACAAAGTCTTTCCAGGAAGGATCTAGTCATTACTTAGTCCTGCCATGAGTGTAGGCATCGTCAACTGTTAACTGGCGAATGAGGGGGAGGCACTGGCCCCGCCTCTCCCTACCCCCTCCTGCTCTGCCCCCCTCCCAGCACCTCCTGGAATGATATAACTGAGGAGTGGCACTGCACAGGCTGGAACCACGTGGCTTGCATCTTCTCTGCATGGAGGGAGGAGATGGGGGGCTGCACTGCACTGACTCCTGCTGCTGGCACTGGTCCCTCCTGCCTTAGGGGGTGCTTGTGGTCCTGTGTGCATCCCCATGCATTGCCAGTGAGTGCAGGGGACTGGATTAGATGACCTGTTGAGGTCTTTTCCAGTCTTGTACTTCAAAATATTCTTTCACTGTGCAAATGGAACTGAGGCTGAGTCACAGCAAGATCATGGAGGCGATTTCCTTGATTAAAACATTCAAAGAACGCCAGTCAGTGGCAGATGATTCTTACTGGGGAGTAATAATAATACATATGTAGTATTGCCTTTCTATAGCACTGCTGATGCTGAAGCTCGGAGAAGGGAAAGTAGCCTTTTACATCATTGTTTCTTCATTTTACAAATGGGAAAACATAGGCACAGAGAAATTAACTGGCACTACCGGCAGATTGTGGTAGGGGTGTATTTAAAGTACAAAACTATCCTCCCACTCCAACAATAAATGCCCAATGCAGCTCTCACTAAGTCAATGAAAAGACGTTGCATTCATTGAGAACTGGAGCTGTCAGTAAGTAGATTCCAACAACAGGCAGTTTCTGTGGAGAATAATTCCCTCCACTCTGAGGGGATCAGTGGGTGAAATTCTGTGCCAATGTTATGCAGGGAATCAGAACAGATGATCATAAATGGTCCCTTCTGGGCCTGAAATCCTCTGAACCATTGAGGAATGAGGCTGTATCACTGAAATGACAGAGGTGTCCATTTGTTGTGTATTATAAAGCTATAGGGGAGTGTGGTACAAACCTCTGGCTTCCAGCAAGTTGGTGGTGTCACACCTGGTCTCACAAAGAGTGAGCAGCCAACTTCCTTGGGCTATAACCAAGAATGTCAGTCCCTAGGTGGTTATTGGTGTTGAAATGTTGACAGCTGCTCAGCATGTAAAGGCACCCTCATAGGATATATCACATTGACAGTGTTATTGACTTGTTCTTAAACTCTGCAAGGATTTATGTGCTTAGGTAAAAGAGAGATGGGAAGAGCCCATATAGACAAAGAGCACTACAAATCGGCTGTGGGAGGTGCTCCGTAGCTGGTGTAAGCGTGTGGCAAACATCAGTCCCAATGATTTCTCCTGCTTTGACACTTCAGCAGCTCTTCATTTCTAGCACCATTGCTCAGACATGCAAGAGGGCTTCACGTACTCGTGAGCTAGTAGGCCAAGCACCGACAGTGAAACTACATAGGCTGCTTACCTGCCCTTCTCTCTTGGGGTATGTCTACACTACCCTCCTAGTTCGAACTAGGAGGGTAATGTATGCATACCGCACTTGCTAATGAAGCCCGGGATTTGAATTTCCCGGGCTTCATTAGCAAGTGCGGTATGCATACATTACCCTCCTAGTTCGAACTAGGAGGGTAATGTATGCATACCGCACTTGCTAATGAAGCCCGGGATTTGAATTTCCCGGGCTTCATTAGCAAGTGCGGTATGCATACATTACCCTCCTAGTTCGAACTAGGAGGGTAATGTATGCATACCGCACTTGCTAATGAAGCCCGGGATTTGAATTTCCCGGGCTTCATTAGCAAGTGCGGTATGTCTACACTACCCCGCTAGTTCGAACTAGCGGGGTAGTGTAGACATACCCTCGGTGATTTGCTATAGTGTAAAGATGGAGACACTAAGAAAAGCAGAGAGAAACACGGAGAAAGACAGAAGCAGATTTAGATAAAGATAGCTACAGATGATGGATGGCAAGACCTAGATTGGGACGGCATCCACAATAACTCCAGAGAAGTCTATGGGCCAGATTCTCCACTGCCTGCACTAACACCTGGGCATGCTGGGACGCTGACTTGGTCGCATTTTATACCCACTTTTACACTTACTTTGCGGTGGGGTAAATCAGGTGCAAGGCAGAGATTCCCTGTGCAGTTACACTGTGGTACATTCAGCTGGGGATCCGAATTAGGCCCATTCACAGATATACCCATTTTCGCTGTTATCTTATAACCCACACGCTCCCTGTTGGGCTGCTTATCCACCTTCAGTGTCTTGTTTCCCCTCTCTTTTGCCCTCTGAGGCTCAATTTCCTCACTTGTACAAGGGCCTAGAATGCAGGGGCCATGACCCCTGACTGGGACTTCGAGGCTGGGACACACTGTAAATAACATATATCTTTAAATGTGGATACAAAAAAGAGATGGGCCAAGACAGGAGCTTTGAATTTACCCTCATGCCTGCCACTCCCGGAGCATTTGTGGTTTGGATAAAATTGCTTTCAGATCTGAACTGCCCATGGTTTTGGGTTTTCAAAAGTCATCCTCCCCCTTCCAGTGTCAGAGTATTCTACAGAGCAGGGGAAATGCCGGGGAGAGCCCGTACTGCGCGAGTGGTAAAGTTCCCGCCTAGGTTACCTCAGGATGAGCATGAAGGACGGTGTGTGTGAAGTGCTTGCAAGGATTCCAGCCAGGCAGCAAAGTACAACAAAGGGTAAGAGGAGGTGGGAGCAATTTGTGCCACACGTCCCAGGGGAGGCAGATCCGTTAGCCCCGTTTGCAGAGATGCATCTGCAGTGTGTGTAATTCTGAAAAGAGAATGAAGACCACGCTGATATGGGGGAAGACATCGGAAACACAAGGCACTGCAGCCAGCTGTAAGTGGAGAAACAGACACAGACACAGATAAGAACCTGGGATTTGCTCAGCTAAATTAGACCATAGGTCTATGCAGTCTCATATCCAGCCTCCAGCAGCATATGAGGCTTCTGATGAAGGCCAAGAATTCATTATTATTATAGCTGACAAGTGACAGATTGCTGTAAACAAGGGTACATGCCATAGACATCAACTTTGTCATTTCACCAGGGGTGGGGCTTGACTCCTGACTCGTCCCACCCTATTCTGCTCTCTCCCCGGAGTGTGCCCCACCTTCACTGCACCCCTTCTCGCATAATGCCTCCTGCCTGTGCTGAACAGATAATTGTGGCGGAAGGAGGTACTGAGGGCAGGGGAGGAACTGATCAATGGAACCGCTGATGGGTGCTAAGCACCCACTTTTCTCTTCCCAGGAGTGTTCCAGCACCCATGGAGTCAGAACCTATGGAACTTGCCAGGGCCATCTGTAGGATTTGTGGAGCCCTATACAGTACTGCTAAACTGCTGCCCTTATCCCTGACAGCAGCTGGGGGTGGAGGAGGATTTTTGAAGATGTGATTTTATAATCTTCAGCAACACACTCATTAAATAGTTTTAAAGCAAATTTTAAATTAAGGCCCTGACAACTAGCACAGTACATGCAGCAACTGACAGCATAGACCTGGGGTTGGCAAATGCCTGTGAAATGGCTTCATTACCACTTGAATGGCTCATTCACAGGTTCAGTGTTCTGCTAATAGGTCTGGCAGGTTTTTTCACTGTTAAGGTAATTAGATCCTCCCAGAGGCAGGAAAGCCAAGGAACAGGGATAGGAAAATGTTGGATATTAAGACCCAGTGGAGTCCCAAATTTTTGAGTACCCTATGCAGCTGCATATTAGGCTTCTGGGTAAGGATGGCCCCGGAACCCACTCTTCCTGACCATGGCTTCTGCCCTGAAGCATGAAATTTGCAACCTTTTTTATTAGACTGCAAGGCAACAAAGGAGTCTGTCCTGGACACATCCTTTCATGCACATGGGGCACCTCTGAAGACATGAACACTTCATGAGGGCGACTGGGTCATTCTTGAGAAGCCATGATCACCATCAGACTTTAGAGCAGTGGGTGGCTCCAGGGTACGGCACTCACTATCCCCTGGACTCTGCCTCAGTTCAGCCCCTCCTCACTTTTAGAAACCACCTGGTAATATTCCTTTCCCAGAGACTTTTCTATTATCAGCCATGCCACTCCTCCCCACCCATTCTTGTAGTGATTCCTCCAAGTTTGTGCTTTCAGTTCTTTTTTTTCATGTGTATTGTGTGTTTGAGATATTTATGCACTGATTTCTTGTAATGACATGATTTGTCCCTGCAGCTGATTCACTTGGCACCCAAAACAAACTCCGGTTCTTGGGATCGTTCATCTCTTACAAGAGAGCTCATCAATTGCTTATTATAAAAAATCATTTGCAGGAATTAAACCTCCCTGCAGCAACAGCTGTGGGAACAGATCTGGGGAAGATTGCATGGAGAATTTCCCTTAGGCTATGTCTACACTGGCATGATTTTGCGCAAAAACTCTTTTGCGGAAGAGTTCTTGTGCAAAAATTCTTCCAGAAGAGAACGTCTACACTGGCATGTGCCTTTGCGCAAGAGATGTGCTTTTGCGCAAGAGCATCCATGCCAGGGTAGATGCTTTCTTAAGCAAGAAAGCTCTGATGGCCACTTTAGCCATAGGGCTTTCTTGTGCAAGAAATTCATGTTGCCTGTCTACACTGGCCTCTTGCGCAAGAACAGTTCCTGAGCAGGAGCATCATAGTTCTTGCACAAGAAGCCCTGATTTCATACATTAGAACGTCAGTGTTCTTGCGCAAGAACTCACGGCCAGTGTAGACAGGCAGCAAGTTTTTGCACAAAAGGGGCCGCTTTTGCACAAGATCGCACCATTGTAGACACAGCCTTAGATTGCACCAGTGAGGAAGGATACATTTTTTGCTTCCTTCTTCTCAATAGGATGACTAATGGTAAAGATGGGATGCCAGAACCAACTGAATCCCTAGTATGCATAGGAAACCGGTTCCCCCTAAATGGTAGATGCTGATTTCACACTTCCCCTCCTATTCTCTGACATCACAGCGCCATAGAAAAACATCTTACTATTTAAAATCTGGGCTAAATCTGGCAGTCCTTAATGATGAAAAAGTGAGAGCATGGACCAATTAAGGAATAGTTCGGTGTCCATTTTACAGGCTCTTTTTAATTACATTGTTCCTAAAATACCTAAAAATAGTTAATTATCTACCAAAACTGCCACATGCACCATACAAAACAGAGTGACTCAGACAAACAGGCTGTGGTTACATATTTAAATATTTGTAAGCATGGTAGTGGCCTCCTATCGTTCACTTTCAAAAGCATGTGGAAGGTCTTATCTCATAATGGATGACAGTTACTGTCTCTAGCATTCACTGTGATGGACAGCATTTTGAGTTCAGTTTGTTTTCATCATACCACAGATGGAATTTCAGGTGGTGGAGTTCAGTTATAAAAACCTTTGTAAAACAGAATAGTTAACTATGTCCTATAAAAGTTGAGATATTATTGGTGGAGAGGAGGAAATTAATGTGGCGGCTACTTTCAAAAGCTCAGTGCTTTCTTAAATGAGACCACATCTTTGTCCAAAAAGGAGGTTTTCTCCCATTCTGAGTGGGAAAAACCTTGAAGTAAAAAGGGAATTTGGCAGATCCTAGCACAGCAAGTGAACATCTTTACACAAGAATGAGATATTCATCGTATTAGATCCATCAACTTCCTTAGACACCAGTGACCATGAGGAATTCCCAGCATATCTGCAATCCGTGGCTTGGAATGATTTCTCCCCCCTCCACCCAGAGAAGCAATGACAAGTGACTGTCCTTCAAAACAGAGGTCTTTCTTGTGGGTTTTATTCTGCTCATTTCTGGTTCATGCTGTTAGAGATGGCTAAGAAGATAGTAAGGAAATATGGGGAGAATTGTCTTCAGCATGCAAATAATACTCAGTTCTATACCCCCTTCATAAGTAAGGCAGTAAATGGGGAGCCCCCGTACTTGCTGCAGACTGCGACGTTGATAAGGCCTCACTGGCTGAGGCTTAGTCCTGGTAAGCCAGAGATAATGTTTGTAGGTTATGAAATCAAGCGGAAGAGCTCATGAATGCCATGCCAGCACCCCGATGAAAGGAGTCTTCCATGTATCACTATGGTTTGCAACTTAAGGATATAGTTAGAACCAAAGCTGCTGAAGGATGGGCCAAGAAGGCATTTTCTCATCTGTGTTTGGTGTAGTGAGCACCACTGGCTTTTGGATGTGGCTCCCCTTAGGCTTATCTTTGTCACCTCCAGATCAGATGAGCCCTGGTGTGAGGCTACACGTGGAACCGCTACGATTTTGAGGCTGGTCTAGAACATGACAGCCCATCGAATTGGCTGAATGGAGTGTGTGACGGGGCAGCCCAGCCCCGCACTATAAATCAACCTGTGGGCAGGGCCTAGCTGACTCAGAGCACCCCTCCCCCACGGCCTTGCCGGGTATGCTTCCTGGTGAGCCGTGCTATAAAAGGCCCTGAGCCAGCTCACTCAGGGCTGATGGCCGAAGGGGAAGGACCTGCCGAACCGGCTCCTGACTCAGAAGAGTCCATGCAGCCGGAACCAACACCACAGCCCCTACAATCTCAGCAGAACTGCCGCAGCCCCAGCTGCCGCGACGACCCCGGCCCCAGAGACAGTGGAGAGGTACGACCGCAGGAGAACCGTGGGAAGGTAGGAAGCAGCCCAGGGCAGGGAGTGATAGCTCCCGGCAAGCTCAGCCTATTGAGGGGAAAGGCCCCTTGCTGAGCAAGCAGTGGAGCGCTCCACTGTCAGCAGGGCCCTGGGCTGGGACCCAGTGGAGTGGGAGAGCCTGGGTCCCCCATCCTCTGCTCCCCTGCTGCAGGGGAAGTCCCACAGCTGTAGGACTAGGCTCCAAGGCCGTATTTGCCGCAAGAGGGGAGCGTACAAAGACTGTGCCACAAGACTGTATTTATACTCAGAGGGGAACCTATAAAGACTATGCCGCAAGGCTGTATTTCCCCCCAGAGGGGAGCCTATACAGACTATGCCACAAGGCTGTATTTACTCCCAGAGGGGAGCCTATACAGACTATGCCACAAGGCTGTATTTACTCCCAGAGGGGAGCCTATACAGACTATGCCACAAGGCTGTATTTACTCCCAGAGGGGAGCCTATACAGACTATGCCACAAGGCTGTATTTACTCCCAGAGGGGAGCCTATACAGACTATGCCACAAGGCTGTATTTACTCCCAGAGGGGAGCCTATACAGACTATGCCACAAGGCTGTATTTACTCCCAGAGGGGAGCCTATACAGACTATGCCACAAGGCTGTATTTACTCCCAGAGGGGAGCCTATACAGACTATGCCACAAGGCTGTATTTACTCCCAGAGGGGAGCCTATACAGACTATGCCACAAGGCTGTATTTACTCCCAGAGGGGAGCCTATACAGACTATGCCACAAGGCTGTATTTACTCCCAGAGGGGAGCCTATACAGACTATGCCACAAGGCTGTATTTACTCCCAGAGGGGAGCCTATACAGACTATGCCACAAGGCTGTATTTACTCCCAGAGGGGAGCCTATACAGACTATGCCACAAGGCTGTATTTACTCCCAGAGGGGAGCCTATACAGACTATGCCACAAGGCTGTATTTACTCCCAGAGGGGAGCCTATACAGACTATGCCACAAGGCTGTATTTACTCCCAGAGGGGAGCCTATACAGACTATGCCACAAGGCTGTATTTACTCCCAGAGGGGAGCCTATACAGACTATGCCACAAGGCTGTATTTACTCCCAGAGGGGAGCCTATACAGACTATGCCACAAGGCTGTATTTACTCCCAGAGGGGAGCC